GAGCAATTTGTGGTTAGTATCTTGCCCAAGGATGTTTGCCATGCAGACTAGGAATCAAACCACCAACCTGCTCTACCGCCTGAGCTACAGCCACCCCAAAGTGTCACAATGGCTTCATGCACAAAGCCAGATCCCACAGAGAACGTGCTTTCCCACTTTGGTTTGGTAGAACGTGCATGAAAAAGCTTTGCAACCTGTGGTAAACAAGCCGGAGCAAAAACTCCATCCAGCATCGACTGGACTTCAGCGTAGCTGCATGGGAGGGAAAACCCCAGCAGGTGTTCCAGTTAAAGATCTCTGAATGTGACTGCTGAGAGCTGCATCACAGCTTCTTCAATGTAAACAAAATAAAAAAGTTTAACTTTGCTCAAGTGCATAAATACAGCAGAACGTGCATGGGATGGGACTGCAGACGCAGTGTTCATGGCTCTATTTCCCAACAGCAAGCAGGCAGCAACCCCCAGGACAGCTCCAGGGTGCAGTTCCTCTAACATCCACTAGGGGCTCCAGAAGTCCTGCAAAGAAACTGTTCTGGTCTCTATAGGTGACTTCTGCTTAATAACAACTGTGCCGAGGGTACGGTTATATCTCACCTGTTTAACCTGCATTACAGCTAAAAGTTTGCATTATTAGGGGGCATGGCCTCTTTGACTAACAGGTGGGTATAGCTGCTAGCTGCCTGCTAGACTTTACCTCAGCTAATTCGCAGGTGAGTTGCAGCACTTTGCAGTCTGTTTACGTTTATAAATTGGATGTCGGTTATTTGCAGATGATTAGTTCTTACCTCACAGTGTGAAGCTTATTTCCCCTCTCTGTGCTGGAGGCAACATTTACATTAAGACATTCAGAGTTCACTGACGAGGCTTCAAACTCTGACTTGAACATGAACAGTCTGCAGCTTGCCCTGAGAAAATGAAGTGCTCGTGTTCCCACAACGCAAACGGTTCAGAAAGACGTAAAATCTCAATAACTGATGAAGAAAAGGTGCCGACAGAAGGAAAGAGGACAACTGAGTTTGCAGGTGGACACAGCTGGATGTGCTTTAAAATAATCAGCGTTTTTGTTAAGACCTGGAGTGGACATGGAGGACACACAGCGAGTAACGCTGAAAGCAAACAGAGCCTTTATTGTGCCTGCGGAGCTCGTTTAACGCCTCGCCCTCCGTTTCTGAGTCCTAAGGCTTCTTCCTTCCACTGTTTATCTGATTTTCCAACATAGCAGCTCATGTTTCTGCTCAGATGATTCACCCAGGAGTTTCATGCCCTTATAAAGGACCGACTGTGACTGGGAGCAGATTAAACACCCTAGGCGGAGGAGGATGATGATGATATGATTGTGTGTGTTTAAAGAGCCAACCTGCTCCGCGGTCGGCGTGGAGGCGAGGTCTTTGCTCGTATCGCCTTCTCTGGCTGCTGTCTTGCCAAACAGTCGCCACCCTGCTGAGCTGTGAGACGTCGCTTTGGGCTCTTTGGGTTTCCTAGAAAACAGGCTCCTGAAAGAGAGCAGACTGAGCTCAGTAAACATGTATCAGAGTCAACAGGAAGGAAATAAACGTCATCTCTCACAATCATATGGAGGACAAGCAAAATGTTACAAATAAAACTTCTCTTCATCATTAAGTATAAGAGTTTTTATGCATTAGCTGATGTATTTTAATAAACTTATAAAATGTTACAGACGTTCTTATTATTATCAACTTGTGTATAAACTCGTTTTATTTCACTTCCCTAATTTACAGTTTTGACCTCATATTTTTGTGTATTTTCTTGTTTGTTTCTTTGCTTATTTCTGCTTCATTTTACACATCAAAGGGTGACAAGAGGTCAAAGTGTTGCCTCGACGACAGAGATGGTGTCTTCTAATCAGGAGGGAAAATAAATAAATGAATAAAAT